CAGCAGGAGGAAGAGAATTTTTCTTTGAAATGTCACTGGAAATATAACATGCTACGGAACGTCTGGTGGGACCGCTTTTAAACTGCTCTAGCAGTTTATACACAGACATGGCACCCCTAGTGTAGCTGTGTGAACAGGAGCCCTACAACATAAACAAGAAACCTATCTTCAGAGATCAAGCTATTTGAGTATGTAATTCAGACTTCTAAACATTTCCATGAAAACAAGGCATTACGGCCCCCGGGCGTTCAAATGACAGCCAAAGGACACACAGGATGCTAGCCCTTTGATCATAGCTCATGTTAAGAGAACACAAATGACAAGAGACATTTCTTTTGAGAGGTTTAATGACGAAACAAAATCCAGCCACTGTTTACAGACGACGACCACGGCGACCTCCCTTTCTGCGAGTGCTGTCGGAGGGGATAGGGGTCACATCCTCTGTGGAAAGAAAGTTGTACATTATCATTCATGATTGCGGGTTGCTTCAAATAACTTTCCAGGACACAGAAAGTGGACTCACCAACCCTTAGATAAATGAACCATCCACGTCCCTGCACTCCCCAGACCTCAGCAGCGATTCACAGCATTGGTTTTGCATGCTAACGATTTATCCTCACACAATGACTAATAAGGCAAAGTAACTTTTTTTACTCTGCTTTGCACGTGCAAAGGGCATTGGAATGCCAAATCAACATCTACTTCCCCGTGGCCAACTTTCCACACCTGCAACCCCAGTCTCTCTTGCAAGAAAGGACAGCCCCCCGAATTCTTCCCAGGAAGAGGCCCAAGAAGCGATGTGCAGGAGGTACCAATATTTCACTTGCTCACTGATGAGTCTGCACATTTGTAGCATTTAGAATATGGAAAATCCACACTGAAATGGAGCATCACAAGAAAGCGACAGTCTGCAGGTCACATGACTTCCACAGCAGCAACAGCCAGCCACTGCTATAGGAGCCTGATGTACACTATAGCTCTGCCACGGGTTCTCTGAACACCGCAAAGGCATTTTTGGCAGCAGCTTTTGGGACTTTCACTCCAGTCAACCATGGTCAGTGAGCTTCCAGCTACTGCAAAGAGTCAGTCACTCGAAACCACAGGCCCACATTACCTTGCTACACAAGTGCAGCCTAGCAGACATAACCTGTGATTAGTTATCAACTCTTAGCCCATACCCAGAGATCATGCCACTTGCTGTTGAATTCATATTCAATTCAAAAGTGCCCCAGTCCCTCAAGGCATTTACACATCAAATAAAAAAAACTCAGCACCCGCAGGCTGAGCACAAGTGACCAGGTGGGTTGCAACATGTCTGATGGACCCAAAAGAGAATAAATCGCAGACTTGGCCATTATGTAACTCAGAGTATTTAACAATGGAAGCATCTTTTTGGTGACAGGACTTTAGAACCAAGGAACAGACACAGGGGAGGAAAAGGAGCAGAGAGGAGGGGTGGGGAGAGATGGCTGCAGAGCCCTGTAGATGGGGGCAGGGAGTACAGCCCAGGAGCTGTGGGGCTGCGCTCTTGAACCCAGAGCTCTGCAGCCTCCCTGCCTCTCCTCTCCAAGCACCTGCCTTATCCCCATTTGGTCAATGCCAGCCCCTCTGCTGCCAATGGGAGTGGAGTCCCACAGCTGGTGGTAACAGAGGGCCTGGCACTGATGTGCCCTGGTCCAACGGATTCCTTGGTTCAGGATCAGTCAGGTCCCAAGAGCATCGGACCAGGTGAACCCAGAGCTCTGCAGCCTCCCTGCCTCTCCTCTCCAAGCACCTGCCTTATCCCCATTTGGTCAATGCCAGCCCCTCTGCTGCCAATGGGAGTGGAGTCCCACAGCTGGTGGTAACAGAGGGCCTGGCACTGATGTGCCCTGGTCCAACGGATTCCTTGGTTCAGGATCAGTCAGGTCCCAAGAGCATCGGACCAGGGAGGTACAACCTGCACTAATTTCTCATTTTTTAACCTAAAATAGCCCATATGCCTCCCACACTTACCAATACGTCCAATCTTCATTCCAGAACGAGCCAGGGCTCTGAGGGCTGACTGGGCACCAGGTCCAGGAGTCTTGGTCCTGGAAATAATAAAACAGGCAACAGATCAGGTCAGAGAAGTGTTCACCAACCAGCCGAATACACACAGTTCACAAGGAAACAATCAAGCAGAGTATTAAGATTCCAAGTCACACAGCTTAAGTCATTTTACCCTTTATCCAGAATTTGAGAATTCCTTATGCCCCCTTTTTCGTCTCATCTATAGGGCAAGAACAGTAACAGTTGGCAGAATATACGGAAATGCAATTCTCAATTTCCATGGTAGCTGACCCCTGACAAATGGGGCAGAAAAGATGTTAATGTTGAAGATCAACCATGATCTTTCCTGTCAAGTGATTCCCTTCCAAAAACAACATGAAACAAGAGTCCCATAAGTTTGCTCAAAAAATTAGGGAGATCTGTTTTTTTCCCTAAAACAGATTCCTGTAGCCCAATTATGCCAGGTATTCATCTAATTATAAATGGATTCACAAGGTAATGTCATTACTATGCAGAATGAAGATTACCATCCCAACCAAATGAATCCTTAACATATCAATTAAAACACAGCCCATTATAGGAACGATTCCTTCAGATGAGAGCCAAACTGAACAATGCTAGCCATGGGTCAGTAGAACTGGGCTGTCACTTGTTTGACAAACTGAGAATGTACACCTTTAAACAGAGTTGTCATTGCTAACAGAATAAGCCCCCATCTGCGCCACACACACACTTTGCAGAAATGCATGGAAAAAATGCTAGAGCGTATCTGAGATACAAGTTCTCTCACTGCTGCACTCAATAGCACTGTTGTAGAAGAACAGCTGCTCGTATTAAAACTGTGACAGCAAAAAGAGATTGTACAATTTTGTGAAAGCTGCAAGACTTGATTTCACTCTGGGCCACCTGATGAGCATACTCTGGCATTCTGTCACCAGCACAACACAAGCTCTACCTCACAGCTACACGACTTTCATGTATGTCACAGCAGAGCCTGCCATACGCACCTATTTCCACCTGTAGCTCGCAGCTTGATGTGAAGGGCAGTGATGCCCAGCTCCTTGCACCTCTGGGCAACATCCTGGGCTGCCAACATAGCAGCATAAGGCGAAGACTCATCTCTGTCGGCCTTCACCTTCATACCGCCAGTCACTCGGCAGATGGTCTCCCTGAAAAGAAAATACACCTCTTTGTCCATGGCCAAAAGCAATACTCCGGCAAGAGCCTGAGCACAACCTGCAGGTCTTACAGAAGCAGGCAATTCAAAACGCAATATAATTTCATTTTATATAGTCACCGGTTCATCATAATAGGAATGTGAACAGGTAACCGGTTACCTGTTAAGCATCACTTTTAACCTTCCCCCACCCGCCCACCGCGCAGGGGCCACTTCAGCACTCCTCACTCTCATTTAATCAGCTAACTAGTTAAACATAACATTTAACTGATTAGTTAAAATGGATTTTACATTCCCTCGTTCATAAATTGCCACGTGACAACCATGGATATGAATCTGTCTTACTTTCTCTGAAGTCACTTCTGAAGGAAGCATGGCGCTTTTGACACACAGATGTTGCACTGGTTTAATGTATACATTACTAATAGGGTTTATTAAACAGAGGCACAACACGGTGCAGACATCTGTGTTTAACCAGTACTTTATACTGATTTATCATGTTCCTAATTGACTTATAAGCCAAAATAAGCATCTCCACAGAGCCTTTAACACAGGTTTAACCTGCCATACAGCTATTGCACACTAAATAAATCAGTTTAAAAATCACACGTGGCCACACAAGTGTCAATTAAAAACCCTGTTACAGACCTTTTGTATTGTCACCTGATCATCAAAATAAATTTATAGATTAACTGATGTTAAGACCACAAGGGGATCACACAATCACCTACTCTGACCTCCCGAATAACACAGGCCATACAATTTTGAGCATCTTGTGGCTGAACTAGATTATAGCTTTTAGAAAGATCTTTCTTGGTATGACAGATATTGTCAATCTGTTTACAATTATCTTTTTTGTACAACAGCAATACTAACTCCCCCTTCTGTAAACACTTATTTCAACACGCACTGTATGTCTGGACATTTTACATGACAGTATGCCCATGTGTTTTGTAAGCAGCCGCATTATAAGTGACAGGTATACATCTCCTTGACTCCTTTTAATACCAGACTGCTATCTGCTTGGAAGATTAGGGTGCAAAGCCCCGCACAGTTCAGTTCAAGTGCAACTTATATCAACATAGCTTAAGCGGATTCCTTGCCTCCTTAAGCTCCATTGAAATAAGCCACTACAACCAAAATAAGGGTTTCTATACAGGTCTTTTTTCTTAACTACAAAAAATGTTTAAGTAATTTCAATTAAACCAGAGCAGCCTTGTCCCGTAGCCAACACCTAGAAGAGTGAGTTAGACAGCAATGCAGTAAGTTTAAAAGGTGAACATATATGAAACCCATATACACATAGATGGGGCACTGACTTTATCCCTACATTACAATCAGGATAAAGGTGAGTGTGAACAAGAGTTACTGACCCAAAATAGCTGTTACTCATGCACAATTTCAATTTTACAAACTTGTGAGGAGGACACCAGAGAATGTAAGTACTACAAAGCCTATATGGCATTAATGTCACCAACACTCAGTACTCACTTGCCAGAAAGATCAGTTACATGGACAAAAGTGTCATTGAAGGAAGCGAAGATATGGCAGACACCAAACACGTTTTCTCCTTCGGCAACCTGAGGTCCCAAGCTGATGACCTGCTCTTCCTTCTTCTCCTTACCCTTACGTGGTGCCATTTCTGAGAAGAAATTAAGGGCATGAGTGAGGGGAAATGAATTACAGGGGAGCATGCAGAGATACTGTTATGAACAGAAGGCATAAAGATTCCCCCCATCACAGGAATTGCACAGCAGCCATTAGGGATATGCTGCCTCTATCAGAAAGAGGCAGTGGGGGAATGGGGGTACTTCAAAGTGGCAGGGCCACTTGAAACGCTGCCGCTTTGAAACGCCCTGTGCAGCCCAGGGCCATCTGGGGACTGCCCCACTGACTCGAGGCTCCATGCGGCGCTGCTGCTTTGAAACGCTGCATGGAGCCCAGGATCAGTAGCTGACCCCGGGGTCCACGCAGTACTTTCATCTTTGAAGTGTAGCAACAGCCCTAGGGAGTCCTTACTTCAAAGCCAGAGGCATCCTATCGACTAGTTGATACAAAACGCACTGACTATTTGATTAGTCAATTAGTCGATATTTAATATCCTTAGCAGTCATACGTGCTTCTGGTCCTTTATATGCTTATGAATAGCAAGTTACTTTGGCATTTAAATCAACGCAACAGGTGTTTTGCAGTTGAACTGGCTACTAAACACTACAAATGAGCCATGCACTTATAATCCATCTAAAGTTTGCAATACAGGATATTCCAAAGACAAGACAGGACCTTTCATCTGTAAAACCACCTCACTTAGCCCTTTGGAAAAATATCAGGCTCACTTTTCACATTTTAGCATATTAAACAACCTGGAGATCAGACTGGCTTTTCCCACCATTGCCACTCAATCACTCTGGCTGGGTCTAGACTGGCATGATTTTGCAGAAATACTTTTAAGTATTTCCACAAAAGCACGTCTAGATTGGCACAGATGCTTTTGAGCAAAAAGTGCTTTTGCGCAAAAGCATCCACGGCCAGTCTAGACGTGAGTTTGCGCAAGAAAGCCCCGATCGCCATTTTAGCCATCGGAGCTTTTTTGCGCAAAACAGTTCTTCCCTGTCTACACTGGCCCTCTGCGCAAGTATTTTTGCGCAAGAGGGCTTTTTCCCGAGTGGGAGCGTGAAAGTATTTCCAAAAGAAGCACTGATTTTGTACATTACAAAGTCAGTGCTCTTGCGCAAATTCAAGCGGCCAGTGTAGACAGCTGGCAAGTTTTTGCGCAAAATCTTGCCAGTCTAGACGCACCCTCTAAGTTTTTAACACCAGCTCCATAAACATCCTCCACTGCATTTCTACAAAAGGCTTAACACGAGAGAAAGCATGGATGGCAACCATGCAGTTAAAAATCACTGTGTGCATAATCAGCCCTCAGTTTGGAGCCAAAAGGAATCCATTCCCAACACTACCTCTGATGTGTTGTCTGACTGGGGGATGGCCCTGCACTTCTCTAGCTTTTCACCTACTATTGGCTATATCTAGACTACACGGCTGTCATGTAAAATAGTTTATTCGGCATAGTCAAAGAAGCAGGGATTTAAATAATCGCCGCTTCATTAAAATAAACATGGCCGCTGCGCTGTGCCGATGATCAGCTGATCGGGCACATCGCTGCAGTCTAGACATGCCGTGATCGACAAGGGAAGCCTTTGTCAACCGCTTTGGTAAATCTCGTTTCACGAGGCATACCGGAGCGGTCGACAAAGGCTTCCCTTGTCGATCACGGCATGTCTAGACTGCAGCGATGTGCCCGATCAGCTGATCATCGGCACAGCGCAGCGGCCATGTTTATTTTAATGAAGCGGCGATTATTTAAATCCCTGCTTCTTTGACTATGCCGAATAAACTATTTTACATGGCTCTGTCAACGGAGCCATGTAGTCTAGACATAGCCATTGACTCTTGCCTTAGCCTGTAAACTCCTTGGAGCAGGCACTATCTCTTACTGTGTACACAGGAAGTGCACAATGGGGCTTTAATCTGGGAGGAAGCCTTTAGGCCAGCGGTTCCCAACCTCTTCTACATGGGGACCCGTTTTGACAATTCAGGAAGACTTGGTGACCCAGGGCAATTCAAAAAATGTGTGAATGGCTCCTTAAGAGCTACCTGGGGGAGACACCTGGTGACAGTTTTGAAATGTAATGGCGACCCATATTTGGGTCTCAACCCATAGGTTGGGAAACCCTGCTTTAGGCCCTATAATGCAAACAGAATCCCTTTTAGAGGGTCTCAGGCCTGTATGGTATTAATTCTCACAAATTGGTAAGTTAAGATACAGATATCAAAGGGGCAGAGGCCACGTTAGTCTGGATCTGCTAAAGTGACAAGGAGTCCTGTGGCACCTCATAGACTAACAGATTTATTGGAGCATAAGCTTTCGTAGGCAAAGACCCACATGCATCTGACGAAGTGGGTCGTTGGCCATGAAAGCTTATGCACCAATACATGTGTTAGTCTATAAGGTGCCACAGGACTCCATGTCATTAAGACACAGAGATACTTCTGATTTACCTAGAATTAAGAGTCAGAAGCAAAGCCAGATTTAGGGATCCTGATGCCTAGTCCTGTGTTTATCAATAGCATCTCTATTTAAATACAGAACAAGCATAGATGGGTGCAGGAAATTTGTGCTAACAGAAAACTTGCAACTTGTAAGCCTAGACAACCCAAGTCTCTTTTCTTCCAACATGCTGGCTATGGAAACCTACTAGAGTGAGGTGGTGGCAGGATTCCCTGAATTTTTCAATGTGCATGGAGCACATTTCAGATAAACTGTCTCGTGGTCACCTCCTCTCCATTTACAAACAATATCTATAGCTACAACAATTGCTTGTATGTAAAAATAATGTTTAATATTTTGAGCATCTACAAATAAAGACACCACCAGCATTATGTGACTAACAGACCAATTTTGGAACCTGGGATGTGAGAGATACAGCAGAAAACTCCTTTCACCTTCAGTTAGTGTGATGTTCCTCTGCAGATCATTAAGAAGCAGAGCCTTGAAGGCACTGTAAAGAAAACTGGGAGCCAGGTATCCCACCTGACACTATCCTGATGGGTTAACTTAAGACTAAGCGACTTACCCTTTATGTAGACCCTCTTAGGTCTAAAATTGGTATAAAACTTACATTAACTGGGATTTCTTTAAGATTAACTGAACACAGTAACAACTACTGTCTGTCCCTAACATATTAGAAGAGATTAGGTTAAAAAGGCCAGGTTTGTTCATGGTGTAATCCTATTAACACGTGAATTTACAACAGGGACAAATTTGGTGTTAGCTATCTATAATACTAATTTGGCACAAGTATCTGTGCCTAAAGACAATATTTCTGATTTATTTCTCCCCCCCACCATGCACTTAAACAAGAGACCAACATTGTAACTAGGGTTTAGCAGAGCTCATTGCTCAGTCAAGTGTCTAAGTGGCTAACACATTTTGAATTCCCACTAATAAACAAGCCTCAAAGGTGGTAGCTGTCTGTATCTGTATATAAAATAGGGAGTCCTGTGGTACCTTAAAGACTAACAGATTCAAATAAACAAACTTTCATGGAGTCCACTGGCTTTTAGTTTTCACTAATAAAAACATTAACACTACTGTGGCCCTCTCCACGCCTTCAAGACTCTGAGGATTTCTAATTGTGAAGAGGTGAATGACTGAGGTGCTTGGAAACTTGTGTGTAGTAGCACTGAAAAGCATCTGTACCCGGCCATGCACAGACAGTGAACCTCAGCATCGCGGCCTCCTTCGCAGAGACCAGGAAAAGACCCCGCTTCCCTTATCCCACCATCCAAGCCCCAAACGACACCTGGGGCATTTTCCTTGCCGCATCACGCTTTACAGAGACATACCTACGAGCGTCTTCGCTCTAGGAAAGCGCTCCCCTCCCCGCTCCATCCCCACGCCACAGCAGCCCTGCTCCCATCCCTGGCCGGGGGAAGCTGCCCCGGGCCGGGAGCGCGTCCGGGACTAGG